GTGTGAGCAGGTATGGGTGTGAGAGCGAGTGTGAGTGTGAGCAAGTGAGTGAGCAGGTGTGAGTGAGTGTGGCTGAGTCTGAGTGTGCTCGTACGCTCTCTGGGCACCTAGATTCTTGTTACAGCCTCTCCATACCTCTACTCACATGTCCTCAACACAGATCACTGCCTTTCTTCTCCATAGGACCTCTCTTAGAATTTGTTAAATTAGTAACAATGACAATAATATACAGTAAAATCTGAAAACTGGAACCTGGGTAAGGTAGGAGCCTGTCAGAGAAGGAAAACACAAATATCATCTGCTAAAACAAAGGACAAAAAGGCGGTAAGACTGCACCTTGTCCAGACTATGGAGACCCAGGAAAACACGCCAGGTCCCTCAAGTTGTGGCTCTGGCAGGTCTCATGGTGCCAGGACAGTAAACACCTCCACTGAAGACTGTGTGCTTGGTACCTGCTGGGTTTCAGGTATATTGTCATCAAAATTTCAAGGGCACACTGAGTCCCAGCACCATCCCCTGAATTCAAGGCTCCCAAGGGGGACCTGGCCAGGGGAGTACTCCGGGACTCACACCCACTCGGCCAACTGCAGAGCCCAGGTGGTTTCTCTGGGTTTCCTGCCCTCTCCCTTGAGTCTGGTTCCAGGACCCCCCCAGAGAAATCCCTGAATGTGACCACTCAGGGTGGCTTTGCTCTCTAGAGACAAGTTCACTGCATACCACCACCCAGGTGCCCTCAGGATGGACAAACTGCAGGGCTAGAGCATGACAGCAGCCCTCCTGTCTCCCCCAGTTCCAGAGACGAAAGGTCAAGTGCTACTTCTTGTCGGCTGGAGTTGCTGTCCTGCTTGTCGTCATCCTCATCATTGCCACCTCTGTCCGAAAGTGACACCACTTGTGGTGAGTATGACCGTATGTCCTCCATCATTTCATTCATCTGCTTTTCCTGCCACCTTCCTCCTCACCTTCCTCCTTCCCTTCCTTTCTTCTTCTCTCTCATTGATCCACCTAGCCTTCCTCACCTTCTTGTCTTCCTTTTCTCTCTCATGCATCCATGCATCCACCTACCCATCTATCTATCCATCCACCTGCCATCCATCCATCCATCCATCCATCCAACCACCCACCCACCCTCCATCCATCTACCCACCCACTCATCCATCCATCCATCCTATCCACCTACCCACCCATCTATCCATCTACCCATCCACCCATCCACCCGCCATCCATCCATCCACCTATCCAGCCAGCCAGCCACCTAATCTATTCATACATACATCCACCCATCCATATACCCATCCACCCATACCTGCCCATCCAGCCATCCATTCATCCCTCCTTCCCTCCCTGTCTTCCTCTTCTCTCTCATCCATTTGTACATCTACCCACCCATCCATCCATCCACCCACATCCATCCATCCATCCACCCACCCATCCACCTTTCCATCTATCCACCTGTCCATCCATCCATCCTTCCTTCCCTCCCTGTCTTCCTCTTCTCTCTCATCCATCCATCCATCCATCCATCCATCCTTCCATCCATTCTTTCCTCTCTCCATCTTCCTCTTCTCTCTTTTCCTTCCTTCCTTCTTTCCCTTCCTATCTTCCTCCTCTCTTCCATCCCTGCCTCCCTCCATGCCTCTCTCACTTCCTGAGTTTGTTGAGTACCCGCTCTGCATCTTAGCTTGGGGCATATGGTGGAGAACTTGACAGAGAGAGGTCCTGTCCTCCTGGAACTCACAGCCATGGGGAAGGCCAGCTTGAGGATCTCCTTACTGTGCACAAGTTGGGCATGTGAGCAGTCTTTGTACCAGCCTACCAGGACTGGAGTGTGCTGGGCTGTGTGGGGTGGAGTAAGGGCACTAAGAGAAGAAGCCATGGGGAGGCCTTCTGGCCCACACAGACAGGGAGGAATGTGCCTGGGGCTGGGGATTGATGGATATACCTAAGTCTGAGGCTCTGGGCAGGGCTGGAGTGGGGCAGCTGGCCAGGTCACACAGGGCCTCAGTGGAACTTGTGGGACTCTGTCCTGGGGATGGGAACTTACTGAGGATGTTTTCCCTCTCAGCATCCAGGCCGTTTAGGGCCATGGGTCAGGCAGGGCCTCCACCCAGTCGAGCTGCTGAGATAAGGGCACACAGTGTTCTCAGAATCCAGACATGGGAGACATTGATTCATCCACTCAGCAGACCTTTAGCAGACCCTCCCTAGCACGTGCTGCGTGCCTGCCCCATACTGGGACTAGGATGATGTATAGGTTCAGCAGCCCCCAGTGGGAAGGGTGGGTCACGCTGAGTCTGTGGGGCCTGGCATCTGTGGCTATGGCTTGGGTGGGACTGGGCAAATCAGTTGGATGTGACTGTTAATGCTGCCTCATCCCTGAGCCCTGCTCTGCTGGTGATTGGACACCACAGCCCACCATACCCCAGAACTCTGGGTACCTCAGCCTCCTCCTTGGAAGGAGTTGGCTCCCTGAGGCAACTGTGAGCCCTGGCTGGCTTCCCCTGAGGATTCCATGTCTAGCTCTGTAGGTCAATGGGTAAGAGGGTGGGGGGGCTGAGACTGGGGGTTCCCGTGTCCTCTCCTCCTGTGGTTTCCTGAGAGAGAGCCCACCAAAAGTAGCACCAGGCGTAGATGCCAACAGAACTCAGCGTGGGGCTGACTGAGAGTGGGCTGGGCACAAATCCTGCCTGCATGTGTGTGCACACATGTGTGTTTGTGCATGTGTGTGCAATGCCCTAGAACCTCTGCAACGGTTCTGATGTGGCTGTGGAATCCTGCTACATCCCAGCCATCAAGATAGTGGTCATGGCTGTGACTCATGTACTGGGAGAACAGCGACCCCAAAAAGGAGTGCTCAAGTTCTGAACCCTCAGATTATGAACATGACCGGAAATCATCCTTGCAGATGAAATTAGGTAAATTGAGTCACGTTGTGTAAGGTTAAGGAGCCCTGGTAGCATAGTAGGTTACATGTTGTACTGCCAGCCCCAGGGTCAGCAGTTCAAATCCACCAGCTGCTCCTTGAGAGAAAGATGAAGATTTGCAGCTTCTGAAACCATATTCAGAGTCTCTGTGAGTCAGAACCAACTCAATGGCACACAACCAGCACCAGCACCAGCACCAGGTAAGGGTGGCCTTAAATCTCATGTCCCTATAAAGAAGATCATGTATGAGAGACTCAGAGAGACGATGTTAATGTGGCCACAGAGCCAAGACTGGAAGGACACAGCCACAAACCAAGGGTGCCAAGGATCGAAGGGGCCACCAGAAGTGGGGAGACGAGGTAGGATGCCCCTGAGTCTGTGGAAGGAGCCATGCAGAGACTTGATTGGACTGTTGGCCCCAAAGCTGTGGACAGGCCCACAGCTGCCGAGTCAGAGGGTCTGGCCTCATAGTGCTCACGAGCTATACTGGTGAAGATTCTAGGGTCCAAGGGGCCCATGGCCACCTTGGCAGACTCATAGGTAGACCCCAGTCAGCCCTTTTGTGCTGATGTCCTGGTTGGGCCATCCTCACACTGAGGCCCCACTCTGCAGAGGCACAGATTGAGGCCTGGGGAGGGCCAAGTGACTCAGGATGGACAGGGCCAGGGGTATGGACGGGGTCTGAAGAGGTGTGATTTCAGTAGACACCCTCAGGACCCTCTGGGGACTTTGTTTACACAACCCCCCTGTGCCTTTGTCCAGGGCAGCTGGTCTACACTTTCTGTGGTTCCTCTGGGAAGCAGATAAGGATCTGAGAAGAAAAGGAGTTCTGGAGTGAGGGTCCCTCCCCTCACACTCCAGCCAGGGCCTCCGCTCTGCCTCTGGCTTCACCAGGGCCTCCCCTGAAGTCCTGTGCTCTGGTATCCACGCCACACACTGGCTGCTTCCCTCATATCTGCTGTCCTACTCTGGAAGTGGAAGCTGTCAGGTCCTTGTCTCCTGCAGGGTTTGTGTAGAGAGTCCTGGTGGGAGCTGGAAGGAGGGGTGGAGGGGAGAGACAGCACCCAGGTCAGGGAGCGGAGCTCTGCTGGCTTCCCTGAGGTCATACTCCTGCCTGCTTCTCTCTGGGGCTTCTCCACCTCCCCTCCTTTGTGGTCACAGTGGTTCCTGTCCTCCTGTTTTGCTGCCCAGGCCCCAGCTCCTTCAGACACCCTGAGCCCCAGAGCTCTGCCGAGTCAGAGGGTCTGGCCTCATAGTGCTCACGAGCTATACTGGTGAAGATTCTAGGGTCCAAGGGGCCCATGGCCACCTTGGCAGACTCATAGGTAGACCCCAGTCAGCCCTTTTGTGCTACCCTGGCTCTGGGTAGAGAGAGATGGTAGACACCTTGACTCCAGCTGGACAGGCCACCTGAGTGGCCCTGAGGCCCTGCCCCCCTGGGTGCAGTTTCCTGCTAGAAGTGGAGCTGTTTACTTCTCTGGCAGCTGAGTTGCTCTGAGGACAAAGGAGGATAATGCCTAAATATAAGCAGTGCATTGAGGAAGGAGCAGCTCCATCCACTTGCAGGGGATTATTATTTCTGCAGAGAAAGCAGTCTCTAAGGGGCCTCCACTGCCTCCCAGTTTGGAAACATTCCCATCAGCAGCATTGAGAGTGTCTGTCTGGACAAAGCCCACCCAATCCCCCTGCCCAGGTCACCCGGGCCAAGAGTCCCACCTCTGTTCAGGACTCTCAGAGGCACATGATCCAGAGGACCACAGAAGGTCCCAGAAAGGGAAAGTCCAAAGACTCATGCTACCGTCCCCCACCTTCCCAGCATAGACCCTGGGAGAAGGGAGGTATGGCGAGGGTCAGAGTAGGGAAGGACAGTGCCCAGCCATACTTAGTCAACCAGAGACTCCCTGCATTCAGTTAGTTGACAGCCAGTATGAAGGCTGGTCTGGGACCAGGGTTAGGCTCAGCATGTGACCATATCAGGACTCACTGTGTGATCAGGATCAGGGCTTAGAGTGGGACCAGGATCAGGGCTCAGAATATAAATGAGTGTGATCAGGATCAAGACTCAGAGTTGACTAGGTTCAGAGTTCATTGAGTGACGAGGATGAGGGCTCCGTGTGTGATCAGGATGAGGGCTCAGTGTGTGATCAGGATGAGGGCTCAGTGTGTGATCAGGATGAGGGCTCAGTGTGTGACCAGGATGAGGGATCAGTGTGTGACCAGGATGAGGGCTCAGTTTGTGATCAGGATCAGGGTTCAGTGTGTGATCAGGATGAGGGCTCAGTGTGTGACCAGGATCGGGGCTCAGTGTGTGATCAGGATGAAGACTCAGTGTGTGACTAGGATCAGAGCTCAGTGAGTGACCAGAACCAGGGCTCAGCCTGTGACCAGGATCAAGGCTCAGCCTGTGACCTCTGGTGTAGACCAGGCTCAGGCTCCTGGGGAAGGGAGGCTGCTGGAGCAGGATGGCCTTGGTCTGTGGTGGTGCTCACAGAAAGAGTCTGTGAAAGGAAGGGTCTTGGTATCTGGATTAGATTGGGATCTTCTTCCGGAGATGTTCCTGGGGTGCAAATACTCTGATCTGGAAAATAACCTAAAGCCCCCGAAGTGTCACAGAAGAAAGGCTTGGCAATCTAATTCCTTAAACATGACAGCCCAGAAAAACCCTATGAAGCCCAGCTCTGCTCTGTAACACATGGGGTTGCCATGGTGACAGGTTTGTTTTTATTTTTTGGCTTTCTCCTCTTAAGAGCTTTCATTCCCCTCCTCCACCCACCCTGCAGTCCCCGTGTTCCCATGAGTGTTTCTCATGTTGTGTTTTCACTGCTTTTCACTGGTTTGTAGTCTCTGCATTGAGGGTCTGAGCTCCAGCGCATAGCCCTGAACCTGGCTCAACATGAGAATGAATGAGTGAGTGAGCAACCCTGGCTCCCTTCTGGAATCCATCTCTAGCAGCCATCAGTGA